TATGAGCAGTTTTATGATAAGTGTTTTTCTTCTTAGTCGTTGCAAAGTTTTTATTATTATTTATCACTCCTTTTTTCGACACAAGTGTGCGGTCACTAGCCGGAAGCCGTAGGCTGACCCGCTTGAAGTTTTGAGATAGGATGTGTCATGTTAAAGCACGGCAGAAACACCTTTTTTTTCTTTTCTAAAGTCCAATTTTCGGATTGGCGCCGAACACTTGATCTAGTTCGGACATTAATCTTTTGAATAAGTTTTTTGGCTTTTCGAGCCCATGGCACTTTTAAACTATTTGTGTGTTTTCAGCACAAGTCTCGCAGTGCAACGCCGGACACCTTTAGAGATTCGGCAAAAGACATTCTCGGATATTGCTATATATGCATCAGTTTCGAATTGTGTCTTCGGTCAATAGTTGGGTTGCCCGGCTCCCGCGCTTGCCCCCTATGTTCCGCTTTGTTCAGCTAGGTGTGCAAAGGGAGAACCACTGCGATTGTGCTTCCAGCTCGCATGGTCAAGCACCTCAGTGAAGAAAGCCGAAAACTGACTTTCACAATAGGTGTAAACTGGTCAGCGATCCGATGACTATATTAAATGACGGGCCATTCATAACATTGGTCGAAGTGTTTCCAGCTTGACATCGACTGTCGCCGAACACTACCGGGGGCTAGTAACTAGCCTCCCAAACTAAATCCTCGATATTTTGCTCTTACATTGGAGCTGAGGTTTCATGATCATGCTTAGCACGACAACCCAAAGAAAGGAACCGATAGCGGGACTATTTTCTTTGGAAGACATTTCTTCTATTAAACAGTAATATAACATGTCTCTTCGCGTACCTTTGTTTATAAAACCGTATGGCCAGATTGCCTTGTTTGTTGTAAGTCTTTATCCTCATAAAGGCTTTATAAAGTAGGACAAACACTCCTCGGCTATTGGACGAGGAGGTGGAAGCCGATGGTCGGTCAACAAAGTTTTGTACAATGCGGATCCGAGCATTAATGACGTAAAGTACTTGGATACATAGAGTCATTACACATAATTTGTGATTTTACTATGGATATCGATCCTTAATTCGGCCTCCCGTGCCCGCATTAAGGCTCGGGGGCTACTGGGCTTCGGGCTTATTATTTACAAATATTAAATGGGCACATCAATCCCCTGATCTGGTGTTGCCACCCGACCAGTGTCTCGGGGGCTACTGCATTGCCTGTTCTATGCAGAAAATTTTAAGTGCAATACAGTTTCCGAGGAGATTTTGATCCTCAAGTTGGTCGGCCGCACCCAACCTGAGTCTCGAGGACTGAGCATGCCGCTTTTTGTGTCCCGAAGTATTCTGCCAAGTTAGGACTTGATCCTCAGACCGATTTTGCAAATCAACCTGAGTCTCAGCAGCTACGGGGATCAGCGGTCTTATGTCATCCTTCATGGGCATCTCGGGTTTTAGACCGATACCCACCTTGAGGGCTACTGGCTATGTATCTCGGCAGAGAATAAATTGCACCAACAAAAAATATTGACAAAAATCGGCCCACATTTGGGGTGGTGCACCACCTGGGAAGCAGTCCGGCATAAAGCTCGGGCGCTAGTTGCTGGCTCCATAGAGGGCATTTCCGGTGTTAAGCTCGGCAAAACTCCTTCAAACTTCTTTGAACCAAGGTGATTTACGACACCTCGGTTACAGTCCGGCGTTGGAGCTCGGATACATAGTCCGGCGTTGGAGCTCGGATACAGTCCGACGTTGGATCTCGAATACAGTCCGGCGTTGGAGCTCGGATACATAGTCCGGCATTAGAGCTGGGAAGCAGTCCGGCGTTGGTGCTCGGCTGCAAAAGATACCTCGAATGCAGTCCGGCGTTGGAGCTCGGACGCAAGAGGACGTTGCCACCCGGGAACAACTTCAAACCCGAGGTGTGGCATAAAAATAACAAGGCATTGATAAAGGCCGGAAACTTAAAGGGGCTCCTCGGATACCCGACGTGTAAACTCGTCGAATGCATTTCGGCGATCCTCAAGATAGAAGATGAGAAGATTTGTTGAACCAGTTTTCAAGACCGGCAACCGAAGATGAAGAACAGTTCGGAAGAATCGAGGAGCGTCCCTAACTTGAAGACCGGTTTAGGGGGCTACTGACGGTGTCCTCGACTAGGGGGTACTCAACGCGCCGTCCCCCGATCAGTTGGATTGGGCCGAGGACCCCCATGGCCGTATACTCATGGGCCAGTCTGGACAGCTGCCGCATACAAGGAAGAATCAACAAGACTTGGCGATCAAGACAAGGACTCCTCCCCCACCGGCGCATTCGGCTAGGACTCTTGTTATCCTAGGCCTCTGGTGCATTATATAAACCGGGGCTAGGCTAGTCGATAGACATATACAACAATCATACCATAGGCTAGCTTCTAGGGTTTAGCCTCTCTGATATGGTGGTAGATCAACTCTTGTACTACCCATATCATCAATATTAATCAAGCAGGAGTAGGGTTTTACCTCCATCGAGAGGACCCGAACCTGGGTAAACATTGTATCCCTTACCTCCTGTTAAACCCGGGCATGGGCAGCCCGGCCCGACGACCCGGCCCGAGCCCGGCCCGAAAAACCCGGGCCGGGCCGGGCCGGGCTTGACACTCGGGCCGGGCTCGGGCTTTGTTTTGCAGCCCGAAAGGTAGTTCGGGCCAGGCTCGGGCTTCTCTTTTTCTATTTTTCGGGCCGGGCTTTCGGGCTTCGACCCGGGCTTGCACGTACACGTACTAAAAAACAGCGTTCGGGCCGGGCTTTCGGGCTTGGGGCTTGATTTCGGGCCGGGCTCGGGCTTGATTTCAGGGAGTATTTCGGGCTTCGGGCCGGGCTCGGGCTTGAGAAATGAAGGTCGGGCTTTTACAAGCCCGACCCGAAACCCGGCCCGGCCCGACGTTTGCCCAGGTTTACCTCCTGTTACCATTGATCCTGAGACGCACTGCTTGGGACCCCCTACCCGAGATCCGCCAGTTTTGACACCGACAGCAGCCGTTGCGCCTTGGACATGCAGCAACATGCCACCGCACTGCCGACGCCGCCACGCCGAGGAGACCCATGTTAGCCCCACGACTCCGCCCGACACTAGTAGAAAAACGGGCCTTTAGTCCCGGTTCCAGAGGGCCTTTAGAACCGGGACTAAATGGTCGAGACTAAAGCCCATCCCCTCACTACTTCAGTCTGAGCACGCTTAACTTTCGAGTTCTATTCCCCCTAGTTTCCAAGTCTGCACTTGTTGTTTTCTTGACAATACTAAGTTGTCAATCCTATTAACCCTTAGGAGTTGAACTTGAGCATTAAGCATCGTTTGAGTTTGAAACTATTATCTAAAAAATAATAATTATTAAGTAACACTAATATTTCTTGAATAAGTAGTTTGACCACAGTTTGACCAAAAGTCAAAAAAACTAAAAATAATTATTTATTAACACTAATATTTTTTGGATAAGTAGTTTGACCACAGTTTGACCAGATTTAATGAAAAGTCAAAAAAACTGAAATTTGAGCATATCTTTTTTTCCTTTCAGAATTTAAGGATTCTAAAAACTTGCAGGCCTAAGGCTGTCAAAATTGAATGCGGGTTTTCGTGCTGAATTTTTTTGATATATTATGCCTTTTTCGACATCGTATGCAAAAGATATGGCCGTTTTACTTTTTCGTAACACTTTTTTGCAAAACATGTCCAAATGTAAGTTTTTTAATTTTACTAACTAGTAGATGTAGTAACATAACTACATTTCGAAGGATTTTTAATTTTTGAAGTTTTTATTATTTTCTTTTGTCTTTTACAGAACTAAAAAGGCGATACACGCAGGGGGGGGGGGGTGTTGTAGAGTTTGAACCTTTAGTCCCGATTTGAGACACGAACCGGGACTAAAGGGCATCACATCCTTTTTAGTCCCGGTTCGTGTCACAAACCGGGACTAAAGGTCCCATTTGAACCAGGACTAATGCATTTCCGACGCCTTAGCCGCTCGAACCGGGACTAATGCTCACATTAGTCCCAGTTCGTGATCCAACCGGGACTAATGTGTATATTGAGTTTGGACGAAAGTCCCGTTTTCTACTAGTGTGAGAGGGTCGTCCCGCTCCAGCCCAAGCCCCGAGCAGAGAGGAACGCGAGCCCCGCTGGCACCTACACCGGTGGGGCTTTCTCCGACGGCACCTTGTGGCGGCAACGAGGGAGGGAGGCCGGAAGGGGAGGCGGAAGCTGCAGCGTGTTAGGGTTCGCCCCTGTCGATGCCAGGGTTTATTCTAAAGAAGAGAAATCTGTCATACCACTTGGAAAGTCCTTCAGCACAAAGCTACCATTTCTTTTACCGCTCTGAAGTAGTTGCAAGATTTCTTTCAACATTGTTGACATGCCTGTTTGGCCATGTATTCCAAGGACAATGGGTAAAAAGAGCGAGGATTTAGAGGGTGATTCCGTATTCATTGTATGTGCTTTGCGCTAAGCACTAGTACAATGTAGGATGCCTGTTTGGCCACGTCGCCGTTGCCGTATTCTGTCTCGGCCATTTTGCTTCCTGCCGACCTCTTTTCGTAATCGTTAGCACTTAGCAATTTCAAGCTGCTGGTGCAGGTTTTCCGGAAGGCGCTGAGAAGGCGGCTCTGTAAACAAGGCGCTGCAAGCTGAAGCCCTGCTGATTGAGGTTGTGCTGCGACTCGGTGGTTGATCTATAGTAGGGTTGGTCTGTAATGTGGTCATGCCATGTAGGATTGAGATTAACCCGGACTTTGATCTGACAGTGGTCGCTGCGTCTGTCTGTCGGATAAGATGGACAAAAGAAAACGAACAAAAAGGAAATTTGCACGACAGAGTGTAAACAGACGGAAACCGTGAACACATTGTTGTCCGTGAAAACTTTAAACAAGATACATAATACATTCTCTCCTCCAACGACCAAGTGAGCTAGGTGAACTAGACTCAATCAACTTATACACGGTGGGGTTATTATTCTGCAAGGGTAGCGGCCGCGGGCAGACCGGGCTCAGTGCTGTCCAGGTAGCTTGTCCTTGATCTTGTCCATGAGGCTCTTCTTCTCGCCGACCCCGTCGGTGCCGTGTGTCCCAGTGCCAGTAGTTCCCGTGTGTCCGTGCTGCCCATGGGTGCCGCCGGTGGCCGTGGTGCCATGCGTCTCCGTGCCGGTCATTCCAGTGTTACCGTGCTGCTCATAGGTGCCGCCGCCGGCCGGGGTGCCATGCGTCGCCGTGCCGGTGTGTCCCTGCTGCCCGTAGGCTCCACCGGTCTGCTGGTGGTCACCGTGGCCACCAGGGAGCTTGTCCTTGATGTTCTCCATGACGGCCTTCTTCTCGCCAGTGCCGTGTGTCCCCGTGCCGGTCATCCCGGTGTGTCCGTGCTGCTCATAGGTGCCGCCGCTGGCCGGGGTGCCATGCGTCGCCGCGCCGGTGTGTCCCTGCTGCTCGTAGGCTCCACCGGTCTGCTGGTTGTCACTGTGGCCACCAGGGAGCTTGTCCTTGATGTTCTCCATGACGCCCTTCTTCCCGCCGGTACCGTGTGTCCCCGTGCCGGTCATCCCAGTGTGTCCGTGCTGCTCATAGGTGCCGCCGCCAGCCGGGGTGCCATGTGTCGCCGCGCCGGTGTGTCCCTGCTGCCCGTAGGTGCCACCGGTCTGCTGGTGGTCACCGTGGCCACCAGGGAGCTTGTCCTTGATGTTCTCCATGAGGCCCTTCTTCTCGCCGGTGCCGTGCGTCCCCGTGCCGGTCACTCCAGCGTGTCCCTGCTCCCCATAGGTGCCACCGGTCGCCGGGGTGCCATGCGTCCCCGTGGCGACGTGTCCCTGCTGCCCGTAGGTGCCAGCGGTCTGTTGGTTGTCACCATGGCCACCAGGGAGCTTCTCCTTGATGTTCTCCATGAGGCTCTTCTTCTCGCCGATGTCGTGCGTCCCCGTGCCGGTCACTCCGGTATGTCTTTGCTCCCCGTAGCTGCCACCGGTCGCCGTGCCGGTATGTCCGTGCTCCCCATAGGTGCCATTGGTCGCCGGGGTGCCATGCATCGCCGTGCCGGTATGCCCCTGCTGCCCATAGGTGCCACCAGTCGCAAGGGTGCCATGCGTCGCCGTACCGGTATGTCCCTGCTGCCCATAGGTGCCACCAGTCTGCTGGTGGTCAGCATGGCCACCGGGGAGCTTGTCCTTGATGTTCTCCATGACGCCCTTCTTCTCGCCGGCGTGGGCGCCATGCAACCCCGTGCCGGTGGTTCCGGTGTGACCCTCCTGCCCGTAGGCACCACCAGTGGCCGGGGCGCCATGCGTCACCGTGCCGGCGTGCCCGTGGGCGCCAGCGGTCTCCTTGTGGTCACCGTGGCCGCCGGGGAGCTTCTCCTTGATCTTCTCCATGATGCCCTTCTTCTCGCCGGCGCCGTGTGCTTGGTGGTCCATCTTGAGCCGACCTTCTCAGTCGTGAAATCCACTAGTGCTGCTGTGTTTACTTCTCTTGCTTGTGTGGTGCAGGTGGTTGTGTAAAGTATCTGCAGCACGAGGCGGTATTTATAGGCCGTTGGAGGGTAGACGAAGCACGACGTGTGCTCTCGTGAGTGCACGGGCAGGTGAGTGCCGACGAGCCCATAAAGAGGGGTGGTCAGATGGACGAATCGCCGCGGCTGGGCGCTACGTGTGGCCGCATCAGTGGTCGGCAGATGGCTGCCGACTAGGGGGGCCGGGCCTCTTAAGGCAGCGAATGCATCATACGATGAGCCAAAGCGCCACATAGTTCTTTCAGGAAAAGATAAGGAAGGCAGCGGGCGCGTCCCGGTCGCCACGTCCCACCTCATTCGTCCTCGTCTGGGAAGAAGATGATTCCCAGGAAAACATCCGATCCTTCTTTTTCTCTTGCAAAAATGGTACTGTATTGTTTGCTTAAGGGGATTGGAAGATCGAATGTGTCGGCATATAAGACAATGGGACTATGAGAGTAACTAGACGAAGCATACGATTTTTATACAGTAGGATTTTTAGAATGACTTAGATACTAGTGATTTTTATACACAGTAGAAAACTGAATCCACGTCAATACATGCAGCATACCACAAATTGTTTCCCCCTGATTTAGCAGTAAAGAATCACAACCGCAATGGGATCAAAACTGTGAAGCAGGAAATTTGCGAACACAAAAGCAGAGAGCAATGTCCTCAGAATTTCTGCATGATTTGCTAGACTATAGATAGTTTCAGTGCAATATTAAAATGCAGGTTGGGGATTCACACCAGATGAATGCTAGTGAGCCAAAGCAGAAGTAAGAACAGATGACCCAAAAGGAGGGAAAAAATCGATCTCAATTATCTGGTCTCCGCTGAAAACTGAAAGCGCTGCCTCCAGCAACAGGAGCACCTCCATACATGCATAGATACAATTTCAAGATAAAAAAAAAGGTTAATCTGTTTGTGCAATAATCTCAGGTCAGAGCAGCATATGATTTGCTTTCTAAATAAGCAAAGCATAACAAAAACATTGAAGCAATTTGTTGACACTTTTTTCATCCTAGTCTTGCACTTGACCTCTGGTAATTTCAGTTCTCATCAGAGGCGGTATGATTCTATCTCCATGTCCCAGTTCCCATCCATCCACAACAGCATTAACCACATGAGCCGTCGTTGGATGTTAAACTGCAGCCGCGCGTAGGAAAAACAGTGTAATTTATGCACATTTAGGGAGTGTGTGAACTGTGCACTCTCAGAGGTCAGAGCATACAGAGTATCTCACTGAGCGGCATCAAAAACCAGCATCACTGAGAAGTGAGAACAAGCCAGATTTCGCATCAAAGCATGGTGTACAAGGGCGGCATTCCGCATTCTCGCATCACTGCCGATTGTTGCCACTGAGGTCCTGAGCCTCTCTTTTTTCCTCCCCTTTAGTGGCTAAGTAATTTGAGATGATGGCGCAGGTTTTCCGGAAGGCGCCGTAAAAACACACGTAAAATCATTAGAGAGTGCTGCACAGGAACCTGTAACTTGTACCAACACGGTTCAGAATGATGGGTGCCTAGCGACACTTTAGGTCTTGTCGGGTGAAATCTTCAATTTCTACTGAACCAGTTCATGAAATACTTGGTTCTTACTACCTCCATAACTAAATATAAGATGCTTTTGCAGTTCAATTTAAACAGCAAAAACGTCTTATATTATGCGTACTCCTGTGCTCAGACTTCTCGAAATACCTTCAGTTAATCGTTTTTATTCTCTAGGGATTCAGTAAATAATTTTCTTATGCTGAACACTTGCAAGTTCGTCTCGCTCTTGTAATGCCACCTGGTGACATGTCAGAGTATGGCACTACTGATCTATGCCACCGATGAACTGCGGAACGGTACGAAATTGAATACCAATAACAAGATAGGAGAAAGAACAAACATTCATATGCTCTTTTTCAACACACTTTCATTGTACACGCGTGAAAATGATGTTTGCATTACACACACAGAGAGAACACCACTCACTACACTATTGTCCGAACATTCAGAATGATGCCATATGTTTTGCCAACAAGCAAACACGCAAGTCTAAAACCGCAAGCAAATAAGTACATTACTCTACATTCAAAATGTTGCAAGAACCAAAAAAAATTTAGACGAGTGACCAATCTGCACAGAGACACTACGGTTCAGAATCGAGAAACATCAGAATCAACGCCTGTTTGCGATGCTGAAGGAGCTGACTTTCATCGGGGTGGCGACCACCAGGGGAGCTTCAGGGGAGTCGGAGCCGGCGAAGTTCTCGTGCATGAACCTGCTGTCGACGATGGACTCCTCCTTGAGGACGACCTTGTAGCAGTAGCAACTCTTGAGGCCCTCCTGGTCGCGGTAGCAGTGATGGTTGCTGTCCTTGACCTTTTGGAAGTTCCATATGAGGCTGAACTTGCCGACCGTCGCGACGAGATGCTTCTCTTGCTTCCCGTCCTCCGTTACCTGGGGGCAAAATGACAGAGGATAGCGGATCAGAGGATGTGCTTTTCAAGAATGAAGAATTAAGCAAAGCTGTAAGAAGCCATTTGCGTACAAATGAAGATACCAGAAATATAACATCTGAAACGAGCAATGGCATGGGAAACAGACTATTGCATTCAAGTGTCATTCAGGAAGAACACTAATTCGTATCCTGCAGAAATTGCTACTATTTCCCAAACACTATACCCTGTTTCCCATTGAAGAAACATGTTTATATCATCCATGAATACATGGAACCACAGAAAGTATGGAGAAAATTTATACTTCCATTCGCCAGAGTCTTATATCTAATGGCGTTGAAGTGACAAGTTAGTTTCATGTAAAAACAGAGAGGAGATTTCAGAAATGGTTCAATTGCTGTTGGTTCTGAATTGACATTTGTACTATGAACTGAACTTGTTCTAGTCATTAGTACCAAAAAGTAATGCAGTCTAAACTGAGAGTATCATGAAACTGTCGACCTACTGATTACCCTAGAAGTCATCACACTACCATGTCGAGATGGATATGCTAATTAGTACCGCATATTCATGGTTAATAATAGATGGTGTGCATGAATTTTCCTGAAAACTGGTATTTAATCAGTACAGATTTCCCATTAGAGCAATAACAAGTTAGTAAGTTAGCGAACTGCCATTATGGATAGCAAACATATTGCATTAACTGATTACTAGCATAGTACCTTCACTGAATTCACCTATAACCAGGACTACATAAGTCTAGATGAACAGCTAATCTTGCACATTCTATATAAAGTTTCGTTAAGACTAAAAAGTGCATTGCCAAAAAGCAGTAGGAACAGTCAATGTTATGCGCCTGAATAAGAATATGAGACTTACCCATGAAAATTGTCCACCATGGAATTTGTTGTCGTTCCCAGCGAGGATTGAATCAAGCGGACTGAGCTTCAGCAACCTGGGCGCCGCGATCCTGCTTCCCATACGCCCACTGAACCCAGTCTTCTCCTTGCCATCCTTGTCCTTGAAGATGGTGCAGATCAAAACCAGGTATGTGTCCGTGGTGCCCAGGATCCACTTCCCATCGTAAGTAACATCCACATGCGTGATCGGCGACCCAAGCCCTGGGAACACCGTCTTGGCCATCCGCATCGAGCTCTTGGAGTAGAGCCTGATCTTGCCATCGACGGAGCCAACAACAATCGAGCCATCCCCGGTGCTCGCGAAGCACTGGAAGTTGGTGCCCCGCGAGAACTGGTGGCCCTGCGACCAGTGCAGCACCGGCGAGTCGGAGGAGGAGTTGCCGATCGTCTGCACCCTGCCCCTCGCGTCGCGCATGTCCCACCTGCACAGCCGGTTGTCGTCCAGCCCCAGGAAGGTCGATCCGGAGGGCTCCAGCTGCGCGCTCTTGCTGTCGTTGGCAATGTCCCGCATCGTGATGTCGGTGCCGTCCTTCTCGAACCGCCACTCGGTGACGACCTTGCCGGTCTCGATGTCGACGTGGTGGACGCCGTTGGAATGGGGCGCGCCTGTGTCCCCGGGGCTCATCAGCAGCATGTTGGTCTCGCCGCGCATCAGCAGGGCCTTCTTGGGCGTCGCGTAGTTGGTGCTGCTGGTGGTGCTGCCGCCACCGCGGGCGCCCGAGATCCTGACCGACACGCCCTTGCCGTGCACGCCGTGGCGGAAGTTCTTGACCACCTGAATCCCGGCGCCGCCGACCAGGAAGCTGTTGTCGAGCGCGCCGAGCGCGAGGCTCTGGATGCCGCTGCCGTCCCCGGCCTCCTCCTCGAACTCCTCGAGCAGGTCCCTGGCGGGGGCAGGGGCGAGGTCGTCCTCCGCGTCGGCCCAGACGGCGTCGTCGGCCTCGGCGGGGCGCGCCCAGGCGGCGAAGTCGGCGCCGAAGACCTCCCGGCGGCCCTCGTCCGTGGCCTCCACCCCGTACGTGTTCTCGAAGAGGCACCGGTCGTACTGCTCCCGGAAGCGGCGGAAGGCGGCGTCGTTGGGGAAGCGCAGCGCCCACACGGACCCCGCCGCGGCGAAGTCCGCCCGGCACTGCCCCGGGAGCGCCTTGAGCTGCAGCTCCTGCCCCACGGGCGCCGACACCCGCCGGCCCGGGCCCACCTCCAGGACCCACCTGGGCCCCCGCGAGGCCGACGAGGACGAGGAGGAGGTGTAGCGACGGCCGCGGCGTTCGTCGTCGTAGCCGTCGTCCTCCGCCGCGGCGGCGGCGGCCTTGTCGAGGAAGGCGTAGGTGGCGCGGCGCTCGGCGGGGACCCAGCGGGCGTCGGCGGAGGCGCCGCCGACGTGGAGGTAGAGGCGGGCGGCGTTGTCCGGCTGCTTGTACGCGTAGGTGCCGACGAGCTACATATCCAATCCAGTTTTCTCTTTACAAAATTAATTAAGGACTGTGCTACTGGTTGTTAGTGACAGATCCGCACCACTAGTTCGTACGTGATCGCTGACTTCCCACGCTCGTTTTTTACTGATTTTTTTTCCTTCTCTCAAAAATCGTGATAAATCGCTAGTGTTTTTTTGGTTTTTCACCGATAATATGAAAATAAAATAAAAGTGCTTGAAAGAGGATTCCAACCTAGGTCTATGCAATACCTATTGAGCCTAATAACCAACTAAGCCACCTTTTGTTATTGTCTATTGTGGATAAACAATATTGTTTGAACCTTTCTTATTTCTGCCATATCAGAAAAAAAACAAAGTTTGGCTTGGTAACTTTGGCATGACCAGCGTGATAACTATGGCATGAGCAACATGATAACTATACCATGATAGGGCTGATAATTACAGTACGAGAAGGTTAAGGCATGAGGAAGTATGGTAATTTAGCACATAAATTACCGATGAAAATGTTTTAAAAAACTTTTTTCTCCTGGATGAAAAATACCATGGTGTTTAAAACGTAAGATATTAGTTATCAAATCTGTGATGTATACATTATCATGCTTTTTACATAGAAATTACCGGATGTATATTTTTCAACAAAAAAATTCAGGTCAAAAATTATAATGACGTTTGTATGTGAGTTATCAGCTTAGTATGTGTCTATTAACAAGCTATTTACATATAAATTACCGAGGTTGCCCCCCTCCCCACCCCTCGCCACAGTCGCCACATTTATCAGGGTCGGGTACATAAATTATCAAGTCCGCGATGTGTGAGTTATCATGTTATTTGCATAAGAGTTATCATTGTATGATTCAACAACTCCTCCCACCCTACCCCCGCCGATAAAGTTATCAAGATTGGGTACATAATTTATCATTTCTACGATGTGTGACTTATCATGTTATTTGCATAGAAGTTGTCGTGGTATGTTTCAATGACTCCCCCCAACCTCAACCCACCGACAAAGTTACCAGGACTGGGTACATAATTTAATGTCTATGATGTGTGAGTTATCATATTATTTGCATAGAAGTTATCGTGTTATGTTTCAACGACTCCCCCACTCCGGCCCCTCCGACAAAGTTACCAGGACTGGTACATAATTTATCATGTTTACGATGTGTGAGTTATCATGTTATTTGCATAGAAGTTATCGTCGTACGTTTCAACGACACCCCCACCCCGACCCCTCCGACAAAGTTATCATGTCTACCATGTATGAGTTATCATGTTATTTGCATAAGAGTTATCGTTGTATGATTCAACAACTCCTCCCACCCTACCCCCGCCGATAAAGTTATCAAGATTGGGTACATAATTTATCATTTCTATGATGTGTGACTTATCATGTTATTTGCATAGAAGTTGTCGTGGTATGTTTCAATGACTCCCCCCCAACCTCAACCCACCGACAAAGTTACCAGGACTGGGTACATAATTTAATGTCTATGATGTGTGAGTTATCATATTATTTGCATAGAAGTTATCGTGTTATGTTTCAACGATTCCCCCACTCCGGCCCCTCCGACAAAGTTACCAGGACTGGTACATAATTTATCATGTTTACGATGTGTGAGTTATCATGTTATTTGCATAGAAGTTATCGTCGTACGTTTCAACGACACCCCCACCCCGACCCCTCCGACAAAGTTATCATGTCTACCATGTATGAGTTATCATGTTATTTGCATAAGAGTTATCGTTGTATGATTCAACAACTCCTCCCACCCTACCCCCGCCGATAAAGTTATCAAGATTGGGTACATAATTTATCATTTCTACGATGTGTGACTTATCATGTTATTTGCATAGAAGTTGTCGTGGTATGTTTCAATGACTCCCCCCCCAACCTCAACCCACCGACAAAGTTACCCGGACTGGGTACATAATTTAATGTCTATGATGTGTGAGTTATCATATTATTTGCATAGAAGTTATCGTGTTATGTTTCAACGACTCCCCCACTCCGGCCCCTCCGACAAAGTTACCAGGACTGGTACATAATTTATCATGTTTACGATGTGTGAGTTATCATGTTATTTGCATAGAAGTTATCATCATACGTTTCAACGACACCCCCACCCCGACCCCTCCGACAAAGTTATCATGTCTACCATGTATGAGTTATCATGTTATTTGCACAGAAGTTACCGTGGCATGTTTCAGCGACTTGCCCCACC